TCAAGGGACCATACTCTCCCGGGCTCGTTCTGCCGTTGAGCCTAGTTTTGACCTTTCAGGGCGTTTGTGGTCGTGTTTTTACGTCATGGGAGGATATCCCGCGGACTTTGACCAGGGGGACGAAAGAAGCTTCAAGCGAGTAGGCCCATACTCTAACTCTACAGTATCGGATGACAGGGTCTTAACCCTCCAGCCCTGTAAGGCCAAGCAGAGGGAGTTGATTCAAAGTTGAGCTCAGGGGGACCTCCGAAGAGCATCCCACCACTCCCTCTGATTCATGCCAGGAGTGGTCCAATACGTCGGACGTAGTCTGGGATCCTGGGTTACGTTTCGTAGGAGTCGAAGGTTTTGTCAGATCCTGCATTCTCCCGGAAGGTCTCTTTTGCTTGTGCCCCCGAAATGGCCAAGATCATCCGGTGGTCTTCTTCAGACGCCTCTGCCAAATCTGTATAGTTGTTGCTGTTGTCGAATCTACCATGGAATTGCGACTTCGCAGTTGCAGGGTAAGGAGGGGCTGCAGGGAATCCTGTACTCATTTCTGGCAAGGAGATCGCAGCTGCCACGCTTTCAGGGTTGGGAAGCAGCTGTGGGAGATACCGAATACCAACGACTAGTTGCGTTTTGACAGCCTCATGCGACATGTTTTTAACTTGTTTCACAACCCACGGGGCCAGCTTCGATTCCGTAGAGAAACGGGAAAATAGGTGCGCCTGCTGCTGCGGGACCACTCCCGGATGTCTTGAGATGTTTTGCGCCGATGCCAAGGAAGCCTCTGTTGCCCGGACAGATCAAGAGGGACTCCACGAGTTTTGCGCAGTCACTAAGCCTTCTTTGAACCCCGCACAACGATTACCTATTGCCAGACGGCAAGGGTGAGAGAGATGCTGAAGCTAGAACTACTCCAGGTGCCGCACTCAGGAGACTGAAGAGACATGAGTTCGAATAAGCAGCTAGTCCGGGGCGGATTAGCGTTCTCCATGCTGCTGGTATGGTACTGGTAGCTTCTGTGTGTTGTGTGCCTCTCCAACACCGGGTGAGTTGTAAGTAGACCGGATTGAGATCCAGGCTGAGGCCAAGCCCTTGTTTGGGGTGTTGATTTATACCGCATGATGTGTGATTCTTCTGATCTTGATAGCCTTATCGATGTTGATAGAGCACTATTTACAGACTTTATTACATACCGCATGTCGACCTATATGGCATTGCATGGTGCTGTACGACAACGCTATGATATTTATGTGCTCACCATGGTCTATGATATTGCCCTATGTTATACTACATTGTGCTGCATTGCATTACGTGGTCCGTTGTTGCACGATGTCGCAGCATGTTGTCTTATATTGACTGGTATACGTGTTGCAGAATGTTTCCAGCATATATAACACACTGGAACACTCTGCTCTACTAGACTAGACAAGAGCAGACCATACTATGCTACACGGTATCATACTGTGCTGCATAGTGTAATTACTATACCTCATTATGCTTACAGTATCAACTAAGTCATACTGCATATGACATCAGCGCAAGCGCATCTCAGTAGAGTATATATATATATATACACACATATATATGGCTACATTTCCCATGGCATTCTCTTAAGGCGTTGTGATTCTCTTTCGCAGCTACCTTCAAGCTTACACCTGTGACTGCAAGCTCGCAAACCTTGTGTCCGAGTCGTGAAGTCGAATCTCCAGAACAGAGCTGACGCTTCAGTTTTCGTTGTGGCTCCGTGCAGCCCGCCATGCATCAGTCACCAGCGGCCCTTGAAAAATGGCTCATCAGAAGCAGCCCGTGATACCATTCCTGATGTTAATTACGACTTTTTGTGGCCTTTACGGTCACCACTGTTATCGCCATCCTTCTGCTGCTTATTGTTAGTGTCATGTCATGTGCGACGATGATGCGGCTTGTCTCGCTCTTTTTGTCATCATTGAGTTGACGACTGCCGACCGTGACGACTACCGACACCGTGTCCACCTCTAAAGATAATGATACTCGCCATCATCGTCGTCATCATCTTCAGCACACTGGTGCTCATCCTCATCCTGATCCTCACCCTCATCCACATCATCTTCGTCCTCCGGCTCCCTCATATTGATAGTGATACCAAATATAGGAGAAATTAGCGACTGTCGGGATTCGTCCAGACCCTGACGTTTTGGAACGAAGAAGTGCGACCTGCGCTGGTGTACTATAGATACCATGCACATTAGCATCGGCAAAAGTGCAGACAACTGCCTCCTACAGCAAGCTGAACGAAAGAGTAGCGCTTTATTTGCGTTCTAGATAAATGCCTTCCAAGTGACGGATGCAAGTGCTGCAGGGTGCACTTAGGCCTTGGGCGACAAGTTCTCAGCCGCCGGACGTGTAGCTAGAAGAATCAGAGGGAGAACCGATCAATCCCTTGATCAGGAGTTTCAATCAGAGCAGAAACACGTACGTCATGTCTGACTGCGCTGAGAACTTTGCTGTTCCGAAAGCCAAGACGACCATCGGCCACTGCATGTAAAGGCACGGCTTCAGTAGCTGCACAGTGCAGTGATGGAAGAAAAGCTACGGTATTTCGCAAATGTGGTGCCATCTTTTGGCGTGCCGGGGCGGCAGGGGCTGCTGCCCCGCTACTTGGGATGCGGCTGGAACCCCTTGACGCTGCCTCGACATGATGTGAATGTGCAAGTTTTCGGCTGCCAGCACTTGTTGGCCCCCTTTGCCAGTGGGGAACATGGACCAAGCCTTAAAATTCAGCAGCGACGACCCACGCAGAGACTGCAGGAAAGTCTGAGTCTACGGAGAACCCACAGTCACTTTGGGACCACTGAGACGGATGGCACAGAAATACCCAATACTGTGCATGTGGAACGCAAGCTTCTGCAAATGCCTTCTCGCTAGAAATCACCAGCAGAGGCACAGGATGCAACAGCGTTATATCTTTTCAGTCACTAAGCCGTGTTCAGAGTGACTCTGACACAGCCGCGATATGCGACTCCTTCGGATGATCCCGGATGTATGGCATAGGCGTTGCTGTGGTGACGGACTTGCATGGGAGATGCCAATCCTACAGAATTGCATTAGTCTTCGTGTCCAGCGATTTGCTTGGAGAATGGCAGCCCGGACAACAACTTGCAAAATTGTCGTTGAACCGTTGAAGCCTGAAGCCTAAACCTCAAACAGCTAAACCCCTCGTCCCCAAGATCGGCGCCCAGGCACCGAACACCGAAACTCGAAGCCCTCAGCCATGGGAGATTGAACCAAGCATTCAACTGCTGTGAAGATGGCTCTCCCGAAGCTGTGAATCTGAGTGCGGGTGTTCGATTGCAGGAAAGTTGGTTGGTTTCGGGTGCTGAGCCACAAAGCCTGGTGCCAAGTGAAGGTCGAATCCCCCAACTATCCGGCAATTTTCTTCAGCATTAGTCGGGACCATCCGCCGAGCTCGCAAATACCGCCGATAGCTGTTCACAGACCCTCTAGCAGCATGCGAGAAAAAAGACTCAGGGCAGGAGGCACGAGGTCCAAGACGAGTTGCTACAGAGAGGATTCGGACTAAAGGATTTCAATCGCGATCGTCTCCCTCCGAAGTTCCACGCCCTTGAGGCATCCTTCCCAGCTCGACCATCGCATAAGTTGTTACGTATTATTAGTATGATTATGACTTTTGGTGTTGTTGGTTACATGTTTTCGTTGTTACATGTTTATCGTTCTAACATCGTACTTATGACAGTGTATGGTCAGTTGGACCCCATCCTCAGCCTCCCTTGCCACGAGTCATCCCAATGCGTGGCTGGCGCTGACATTCGATCAATGCACCCTGCAACCGTCGTAGTAGTCAAAGGGTGGAAGATGGTAGGCGAAGAGAGGTGTCAACCTGACGAGCTACATATGCCGCTGGTAAATTCGGTAGATTGACAGCCTTTTTCTGATTTGGTCTGCATTGTTGGGTTTCAGCTGCATGTGGATGCTGACGGCAAGTTGTGCTGAGTTGGCGGGCAAGCTAGAGTAACATGTTGGCAGACCGAGTATGAAGGTGCGAACGGCTGCTTCTCCTGCTGCACGACGCGAGAGTCCTGAGCTTTCTGGCAGACCTGCGGTTGAAGTCTTGGGGAGAAAGAGCCACCGTCGAGCATGCACAGAGATGAGTAGGTTTGAAGACGCATGTCTTGCTTAATGGTATGATGCTCGAGCCCTTCGATTCCAACTCCTCCAACCCAAGAGCAGACCCCAGCACGTCGCATTGTGGCTCCAAGCTTTCTTGGGTCAGTGAGCATGGGACGACTGGGACGACACATTGCTTCTGCCAAGCTCCTTGGACCATCGAGTGAGGCTGAAAGATCCTAGGCCGGAAGTCTTGCATGTGCCATGTGTTTCGGGGCGAACCTCTGCAGGCTGGACCATGGGCCTAGCAGGTAACACGGTTAGGCAAAGCCATCAAGGGAAGCATTGTTGGCTGGCTGGGTACAGTGCAACGTTTTCTGCACCTTCCTTGAGGTCAGAGATTCGATATCTGGGACTTGCGTAGTTGTAGCTGCAAGTCGTGGTTGAAGGTGTTTTTTCTACGTTGCAGGCTTGGCGGTCCACGTGCAGACTCCTTGTTAAAGACTGGGCAGGGGAAGCACGATGAAGTAAGGGCAAGGGGGCAGGATTGTGTGCGCGGCCGTTTCGCTTTGGCTCGCAGGGCATTTTGCTCCAATACAGACCGTAGCATCGAGTCCAGTTTGCCACGGCATTTGACCCGCCGGTCTGTGCCAGGAGCGCTTTTCCATTTTGCGTGTCCTCTGCCAGGATCGATCAGGTTTGGTCCTTGACATCTGGACTACTGGTTGAGCGATTCCTGATGTGGAGACCTTCAGCCCGGTGTCTACCAGTTGCGAGTAGGGACCTAGCCACGACCAAGTCGGAAAGTAAGCTGCGATGGGTTCTAGTGCAACCCATTCCAGCGGACTTCCGCCTTCGGCCCTCACGCAGCCCACCCGCAAGCCGGCAGGATCGCTCGGAGGAACGCGATGAGCAAGACTGGAAAGGAGGCAGCAGAAGTGGGCGGTTCAAGCTTTAAACACTCCCTCCCTGCGATCAGAAGCTGCAACCCCTTGTCCCAAATCGTGGAGAACTGTGAAGCTCTAGCCTCAACAAGCACTGCACCAATACTAAGCAGCCCCAGTGCCAGTCTTGTCGAGAGAAGTCTGATCGAAACTGAACCGACCTTGACAAGACGTTGGGGCGTCTTAGATAGCATGGGCCGTAGACGGAGTTGTCCAGCTGCAAACTTCTAAGCCCCGACCCGAACCGGCCCAAACACCTTGTCGTCCATGACGTATTTCTGTAAGCCATGTCACGGTGCGGGAAGGACTTGAGCACTGCGCAGCGTGCCATCATCGGGGCCGCAGTTGGTTCGGCGGAGCATCGCGGACGCGTTGTCGGGTCAGGTTCTGACTGGATCTGGGTTTTGGGCTGAAGCATGATGATGCTCAGGTTGGAGGACTTTGGAATTCCGTCAGAGGCTGCGGGTGATCTTTCAGGCTGGAATCAGTTGGAAAGACAAGGGTACGTGGGAGTTCCAAGAAAGTCTAGGGTTCTGCATGGATTCGGAACTGTTGCGGAGGCTGCAAGGGATTCGGTCGTGAAGTCAATTCGGTGCTGACGCTCGCGGATTTCCGTCTAAGTGCATGCGCTGCAGGCACATTGGGCAGGCAGAATTTAGGCGATCAAGAAACACAAAGCCGCAAGTTTCTCAAGGGTCCAGGTCACTGCCAGGGCAGCATGTAGTGTAGAGAGCTTTCCCCACCACCGCATTCTGCACAAATAGTCCCGATTTACTAGTTCCAATCGGCTCCAGCTGCTTCATGGTCGAGCCCACGCCCAAATTCCTAAACTCCAAGCACGAAAACCGCCCAAACTCTAGACTCTAAACACGCAAACCTGAAACCCTGAAGCCCCAAGTCCTCCCCGAAGAAACAACTCAGTCCACGAACATGCTCTGAGGATGGCAATCATGCGCCCTGCGGCCACTCGGATCCGACTCCAGCAATTCCTAAAATCTCCTGGGCTAGCACCTCAAGGTTTCCAAAGCTTGAGATTGAAGGTCTTTTGGCTTGCTTGGGGTTCAGGTATGTACAAGGCTGATTGGCTTCGGGCCTTGGGGTATAGTGTCTTGCAAAATCGCTCTTCGGTATAGGCTGATTGTTCAGGGCCTGAGTTTTGAGGATTGTTGGGTTTAGTGTTTGTCCGGCTTGGGCTTCGTGGTCTACAGGTCGCAGATGACGGTTGATCAGGTGTTGATCAGAACCAATGAAGTCTTGACAATGCTGTGATATCAACTTGTTCCTCTGCCAAAGTTCATGCCTGACCCGTTCTCGACTAAATGGAAGAACAGCCTAGCACTCACAGCGCGCTTCATTTTGGGAGTCTTTGTTGTCTGTAGTACCCCTGCTGCAACGATGCGGCACATCGGCACGCTTCTCGAGCTTCTTCCGCCGTTTTCTTGAGGTGTTCTGGAAGACCGAGCTTCAGCAGCAGCGCTTCTCCTTCTCTCGGGCGGTGAACCCGAGCTACTGCCACCTGGCTGCCCGTTGCCTAAAAAAAACTCACAAATGACAAATGAACACTTAGAACACGTCCCAACAGCAAGGTGCCCGAGCAGACTCGCGAGCTGATCAGTGACTGATCTCTGCCGTCTGGCCTCGTGTAATTTGAACACGTAAGCTGGAGCTCCGACTGGAGTTGTTCGGGAAGCTGCGTTGCAAGTGTCATGCAAGGTGTTCCCGTCATGCCTTGCAGCACCTTAGGTTACCGCGGGCTGCCCCTCGCAGTTGCTTCTGAGCCAAACGGAGAGGTTTGTGTTGAAATTGTGACGCTGGTTCGTGCGATGATGCATCACGCTGCGGCGATGACGACAACAGCAACAACAGCAACAGCAATCACGACTGCCATTGCGACTACCAATACCACCACCACGACGACGACTACCACCGGACTACTACCCCGCTTCCACTGCTACAACACGACTTCGACCACTGCTACTGCTACTCTAGGGATGGTAACTGGTACTTGACCTGGAGCAATTCTAAGTGGCTTGTGGCGAAAGTAGGAACCGGCAAGTGAGCACTGAGGTCTCAATCGCTCCGATCACATGCATCCAGTGACAGACTCAGTTTTCTATGCACATTGCTGTCTATGCGAAGCTCTGAATCAGAATCCCTGGAGCGACGAAACCAGGTATGGCGCAACTAGCTTCTTCAGCTCCTGCCTCAAGGCCTGGACGGTAGCCTTTGCGAGTCGAGTAGGCGCAAGATTTTTGGTTCGTGCTGCGTAGACTTAACTCATTATCAGCTGAACTTCTGAGCTGTCAACAGTTGCTCTCAGCATTACTTGTGCCCTTTTGGTATTTACTGACACCGTTATTTGTTCCCGGTGCCGCTGTGGCTGTTGGGTGCCGCTGCTCTCGCTTTTCTTTCAAGTAGGACTAAGTATGTCGCTTTGGGCGCATGATGGGTTGCGCCAGGTTTAAGTGGAGAAGGATCGTGCAGCTTTTGGGTTGGTACAGGAGTTGCACAATGTTTGGTCGCCTACGCAAGGGTAATGTTCCTTTGTTCCCTGTCTGCAGCACTGTGATTCTTGTCATTATCATCGTGGTCAGTGATTAGCCTGTCATTGCCATTCACAATTAGCGCGGGCATCGCCACTTCTTTTCTGCTGTATGCCCGTACCATGAGTGCTATAAAGGTATTTCGTGACGTGGTAACCTCATGATGTTGCATGAGAGACATTGTGCCAGTCATGATCTGGCTTGTTGCCATCAGCACTGCTCATATCACAGTTATGCACCAGTACTCTCCCAGCTGTTCTTACCGCATCTTGTCACGAACACTGCTGCCGGTGCTGCTGCTGTACTCATCCTAAACTCCTGTGCCTCGACCACTACTACTACGCACCACTACGCACCTCTATGTACTACTACATGCTACTACGTGCTATGTACTACTATGTACTACTATACGTCCTGCTGCGTACTACTACATACTTCTACGTACTTACGTACGTATACTACTACTACTACTACTACTACTACTACTACTACTACTACGAGGACGAAGACGACGACTCCTAGTCCTCGCCCTCCTCCTACTGCTACTGCTGCTGATGCTGCTACCGCTACGGCTACTGCTACTGCTACTGCTACTACTGCGGCGATCTCCGCCACCAACCACAACCACTACCACCAAACTTCAACCACCATGATGATGATCGCTTCAGAGCGAGCGCTCTCAGTCCCAGAGGCCTTTCGGGGCTCCGAGTCGCAAGTCCGGGACGCGGACAAGATCCTCGCCTCGGTGATGGCTGGCGTGGCCGCCCCAGGTCATGGGAGGGGAGGCATGGAGGGTTGATTAAGCCCTCCTGTAGGATTGGGGAGATGCGGTGTAACCCACATTGCCATTGCAGGAACTCCTCATCAGGGTTGGGATAGGAGTGAGTGGAGGCTAATGCAGCATGTCCCGGCTTATTGCTGTGTGTTGTTGTCCAGCGGCGAAGTCTGGAAGTTGTTGTTTTGGATAGCCAGGATAAGAAGGCTTGGGAGCTGCCTCACGCGCGACGGCAAAGCAGAGCCTGTAATGATGTGGCGGCGAACCTCTGGTGGAAGGCAGCGAATGGGACAGGAGCAAGCCGCCGCCGGATGACACTCAGTGCTAGAGTCCTCTAATTGTTGCGCTGGGTTTTGGGGGTAGGGCCCCATCCCCCAAAAATTTCACCCCGTCCTGAATAGTCTCATCTCCGTGTGCTCAGAGGACGGTGAATAAGACTGCCAAAAACTGGATGAGCAAACGGAACACAGGCGTTAAACGGGGTTACCGAATTAAGCCCGGTGCAACATTAAGGGTCAGACGCGAGCCCCATCTCGGCCGCGCATCTTTGCGATTGCAAGGCCAGCTAGCAACTCGTGTGTGCAAACTGCGAGTGCATGAGGTTAGGCCAGCTCACAAGCGCTGTGCTTGAAGAATGTACTTGATACTGTAGCGGCAATATCAGCAACAAGACCAGCTGTAGTGGTACCCCTATATAGTCCCTAATATAGCTGGAGAAGAATATACCCCCAAACCCTATGCCTTATGCCATATGTTTCGATCGTGACGATCATGGCCATCGTGGCTTTATTGCTTCGTTATGACAGCACGCGTGAACAAGTCGAGGTCGCATCGGCACTGGTCCAGTCGCCGACGCAGCTCGTTGAGGCTCCGGAGGGTAGAGGTCTGAGTGTTCAGGGTTCGGGGAAAACTGATGCCACAATATGATGGCCAGGTTTTGAAGTGAGGTATTGTGTGCCCCGGGGCAGCGATGTCACTGAGCAATAAGCATCAATGATTCCGAAGATGTCAAACGAATTGGCATTTGATAGCAAGTTCTGGGTCTGTTGTGTCGTGTCTTCTCATGGCACCGTGTGGAGTTCGCTGTACTCGTGCGGTTCGTGCCAGCTGTTTTCCGCATTGAGTTCAACCACATACTGCAAAGTCTGTTGCTGATTGCTTCGGCACGATGTGAGTTCAACACGGGCTTTTGTGGGAAGTGGCGGTAAGCAGGTCTGGCTGTGCTATCATGGAATCTTCACATCATGACTCTTTTGCGGGCGTTGGTGCTGATGTACAACCTCTGAGACCTCATGACCAGCAGTGTAGTGGCTGTGCACGTCAGAGACTGCATCAGCTTTGTGTCGGCTTGACCAGAGGTGCACCATGGATACTTCAGCATCGTTTCAACTGGGAAGTTCCTTGCTGGTTTACGTCAAGAAGATTTGTAGGACTTGCAGTTTTCTAGAAGGCGTATGGCGGGTTGATGAGCCACCCAGACATGGGGCAACGCCTCATAGGCCTGCACTGCGGTGAGGTCAACCAGTCCAACCACGGATCCTCGATGTTTTCGACAGCCAGGCCAGCCACAAAGGGCCAGAGGTATGCCATGTATTCCGTGATCGTTTAGAGTCTAGTTGTTGCCTTTCCCACCGATTTTTTGAGGCCGCAGTTTACTCCAGCCGGGGATACCCGAGTTGATCCAAAGCATGTGTGCGTGTGTGTGGTGTGTGTGTGTGTGTGCGTGTGTGACATTGTCGGTTTCGGAACGGAGTTGGGCTGAACGGCCGCCCCACAAGCACAGAGACACCAGCCCTGCCAATTCATGCGCTTATGTGACAGGAAAGTCATCTCCCAGAATGGAATATTGGGGCTCTGGCGTGGCTACTCCATGGGCGCCACTCGAGAAGGCCAAAAGCCGAGAAGCAGCTTCCCAGAAGCAAGTCCCCCAAACAGGGCGTTCGGATATCGGATGCGTTCGGTGTCGCAGCACTAAGCCCATCCTAAGCCCTAAACGCTGAACCCTTAGAGATTCCTTGAAAGGCATATTCTGCAGCTCTTACATTGCCATCAACCCTTTGATCAAGACTTGGCTGCTGCAAAAGCGACCTGCATCTTGGCACGGCTGTTGGAGACGTTGGAATCGCAAGGACAATGAATGTAGTTAGTAGGCATGTTGAGAATAATTGTAATACTCAGCTATCAGCATCATCATCGCTGTATTGAGACGACTATAGTGCTACGACCACGACTACTAAAACTACTACTACTACTACTACTACTACTACTACGACTACGACTACGACTACTACTACTACTACTACTACTACTACAACAACTACTACTGCTGCTGCTACTACTACTACTACTACTGCTAGGACAACGACTACTACGTCTCGTACTAATAGTTACGAATACTACGACTTTGACCAGATCCACCTGTGCTAGCTTTTTCGTGGTACGCACACCTTCAGCTGCGAGGTATGCAGGTGCCAGAGGTCGTCATACATGCGCCTTCCCCGAGGGAGGACGCGGTGCCGACTGTAAGATTTGATTGATGCGTTTCCTGTTTAGGGTTTGGTGATTCAGGATGAATTCCAGCACGTTTATTTCCCAGATGAGTCTCTACAATGCACCATTCTTACCATCTGGAGAAAAATCAATACATACCTCTTCGCCGCTTTATCACAAGGACGCGGGAGATTTCTATAGAAACTCTTTCTTCTGGGGAGGTTCTCCCTAGTCCCAGATCCGGCAGCAAACAAACTTCGGTCTCGGCCAGAAGCCAATACAGAGGTCAGAATAACTACTGAAATAACTACTGATAGTAGTCGCGTTTAACATGTTGGAACTTGTAGTCCCGTCGAGACCATAATATGGAACAAACCCTGTGCACTTCCATCTGATTAATGTGTTCTACTCTCCTCAGAGGAATCTTGTTGATGTTGCTATGAGTTCGCAGCGTACCTTTATTCAGCACAAAACTGAAGATCAAGTCATCACACATGTGCTGCGCATCACTCGGGCTGACTTCTTTGCGGCCTTCGCGGACAAACAGCCAATTTTATTCGAACCGAAACGATCAGCAATAACTGGGCTTTGCCATGTTTGTATGCTAAACCCAAGCTGATGCCTTGTGTTGCTCTAGACAATGACTTAAAAGCGCATCGCACTCCACATGACATCACAGACAAAGATATCACGCCGCTGCCGTTTGACACGTGGAGCAGATGTACCTTTCATGCGCAGGCTAGATTACCACCCAGACCTGGCCCTCGATCTCTTTTCGGAGCCATGCTGAAACGACTTTCACACTTTCAGCGAGCAGTTACATCTTTCCAACAATCGCAAATTCTTGAAACTGCGATGCTAGCCCGCTTGATTAAGCCTTGCTGCATGGGGTACCGACGAGCAGTGCGTGCATTGCCCCAAAAGGCTTAGCTTTCCCCTGTCCCGACTAATTTGAGCCGAACATATCCACGCTGCCATAGAGATCCCACTTGAACTGATTACTTGATAGTGATAGTAGAAGTAGTGATAGTAGTAGTAGTAGTAGTAGTAGTAGTAGTCGTCGTGGTAGTAGTAGTAGTAGTAGTAGTAGTAGTAGTAGTAGTAGCAGTAACAGCAGTA